GATAGCAGTGCATTGTAGTTGTCAGTTCCTCTTGTCTGTTTTCCCCCCTAATCGCTAAGGAATGAAGCTTTTCTTTGTGTCTGCAGCCTCTGGCGCAGCCCTGTCGAACAGAACGAACACTTGGCAGACGTTCAGGGAACCTTTATGAAACAGGAACAAACTGCCCTCTTGTAAATTTCACCTCTCTCTGGCAACTTCCTCCAAACCCCTGCGGACACTTTTAAAGAGCCCTCTTTGGGATCCCATGTCTAGTCCCAGATTCTCCTGTAGTTCCTTTATGATTTGCCTTTAAAAAAAAAGTACTAGCCCTTTTATTGCCCCTTTCAAAGCAGCTCTCATCCTTCATCCTCTTTAACGCTTTCATTTTTCTCAGGTGGTTCTTATCAAGCTTGAGCAAGCGCAGTGATACTCAGGGAAATGTCATGGCGGGGTGGGATGAGGCAGCCCTCTGCAGGAGGTTCGGAGGCTGGGGTGTTTCCTTTTCTGATAGAAGCTCCTTGCTACCACTCCTCCAGTGGAAGGAGATCCTCTGAGAAACCCCACGGAGTTTCAGAAGTAGAGATATTTGAGAGAGTGAGAGAGAATTAGAAGGAAGATTTTTGCCAGTAGGCTTTTCTGATGTAAGAAACCTCCCCTATTCAACAGCAGTGGCCTACAAACATTTTTGGCTGTGAGTCCACAATAAAAAATACGTTTATATTGGGAACCAGCACCCACCTACATATAAGTTAATGTAAAAGAGTTTCACTAGCAGTATTTACTCTTCTTATGCAGAAGGCACTCTGATATTTCTGGTCTCTTCTTTTGTCCTTGTTGCAGTTTTAGTACAGTGCCAGCTAATTGGTGGCTAAGGCCCTGGGTAAGGGCTTTAGCACATACCTGTCCTGCATCCTTGGGCAGGTTCCTTCTCCCAAGTTCCTCAGGTGTAAAGCAGACTTGTACCTCCTCATTGCGTGGGTAAACTTTGTAGAGATGTCTATGTCTAGCGAGGTCCCTGGCACACAGTATATTTCTGTATATGCTAGTTAAATATGACAAAATACATCTGCATGGGTGGAAGGGATCTCTACAGAGTTGATGGTACTCTTGCTGATCTGACTCACTATTTCCCAGCTGTTTACATTTGGTGGCTCATGCCTCCAGCTGTGTGTATATATTATAGCTGTATGTGTATTTCACTTCCCAGCCACTCTGTGTATGTAAACACACAGACACACTCCCTCCCCTTTCCACAGTGGTCTCCATCACCTTCCCACTCTCCCAGGAGGAGGAGATCCAACCTCCAGGGCACCAGTGTCAATGATCATGCCACATAGAGACTTGCAGACCCTGCTGAAGAGAAGTTACAGTCTGCATCCACATCCAACAGTATAAATTAGGAAGAAATAAAGACATTTTTATGCACTTAAATATTTTTGTAGTTGTACACAATTAAATGTTGTACACCTATTTTATGTTTTCTACTAGTTTGAGATACTTATCCTTATATTTTAAAAAATTGATACATACCTGGGCTTTTCTAACAAGGACCGTAGCATTCTCTTACTTACCTTTTGCCTACCTCTCCCTCACCAGTCTCCCATGTCTACATTGTCTGGAATTTTAGTTTCTGATTTTTATTCAAAAATTTAAAATCAGGGACTTGCTGGGTGGCTCAGTGGTTAAGAATCCACCTGCCAATACAGGGGACATGGGTTTGATCCCTGGTCTGGGAAGATTCCGCATGCTGCGGAGCAGCTAAGCCTGTGCACCACAACTACTGAGCCTGTGCTCTAGAGCCCGTGAGCCACAACTACTGAGCCCGTGTGCCACAACTGCTGAAGCCCACACGCCTAGAGCCTGTGCTTCACAACAAGAGAAGCCACTGCAATGAGAAGTCCACACACCGCAATGAAGAGTAGCCCCTGCTCGCTGCAACTAGAGAAAGCCTGCATGCAGCAACGAAGACCCAATGCAGCAAAAATAAATAAATAAATAAAATCAATACTTATTTCAATTCAATAGGTTTCAGTAAAATTTGTCTTCTATTGCTTGTTGCATTCCACTATATTTGAGTGTATTTTCTTCCAGGAGTGCATCCTTTTTTAAAAAAATAAATTTATTTATTTTCATATTGATGATAAAATTTATTTTATCATCTGTGTTTATTCTGCTTTTCAATCCATATATCCTTCCCGCCCAACAGTTGTGTTTTTATTTCTAAGATCCATAAGGCCCTTTTTCATAACTGCTCTTATTCTGAAACTGTCTATTCTTGTTTCATGAATGCCATATTTTCTCTGATCTCTGAGTATTTTAATTATACCTGAAAGTTTACTCTGACTCCTGTATAACTCTGCTTCTTCAGGTATACATTCTTCCGTTTGTTGAGTCTGTATTCTCTTCTATAATCTTGTCTTTCCTCAAATATTTGGCATTTGAGGAAATGTCTAGAGGGAGGATGGTGCTGCTTCCACCTCTTGAACTCCACGCATATTGCAGTGAGGAAGGTCAGAGTACTTGGAGGGGGTACTGTGGGTGCTTCCTGTTCCTTCTGGGCATCAGTGCCTCTAGGGCACTGCCCCCCCTCTCATACCTACATTCCTACATTCAGTGCTTCCGCTTGGAGGATAGTCTAGTGTGTAGTCTAGTGTGTATGTAGGTGCAGAGTTTATCTGCTTGGCTCTTCTCACTATGATTCTCCAAATAACAACCCTGTTGGTTGTTTTCATGTCCTTTGCTGTTTGAGCTTCCAGTTCTACCTTTTCCAGCAGAACCCTCCCATTCATAATCAAGGGTTGCAGGTTCCCCCTTCCATCTGATCTTTGTGTTTCTTAGGGATTTCTCAGTCATTTGTCAATGTTGAGTTCTCTCTTTGGTCTCAAGCTCAGCTATCCGTGTTTATTTGTTCATCTATTTATTTATGGTTCATACCTTTTCTAGTGTGCTTAGGGATTCAGTAGGGGAAGGGGAGACTGTGACATGTTCTTAGTCTGATATTTTTGCAACTGGAAGTCCTGTTTTCTTTTTCAGTTCATGTCCTGCTTTTGCTAAGATTGACTTATAATGACAGCACTGCAAGTATAGCATATAATCCCTGATGAAGAAGAAGAAAGCTGGTGATCTTTTGGGTGGTTTAATTCCACATCACTCTGTCTAGGGCATAGCATCTGCAATTTGTTGAATTGGGTTAAGCTGAATGGGGAAGTGTGTGTGGGTAGGATGGGGGTAAAATATTGCTTAGAGTGGAATAGTGTCTGTGTACATCTACAGCTACTTACTTTTTCTTTATTCATTTACTGCTTTACCTGAAATTTATGTATTTCCCTGCACCTATTGCAAAGTGAAACATCAAAATATTATATATAGTAAATGAAATTTCCTAAGATTCTATCAGGTAGTAACCTGTGTTTTAGATAATTGTAGAACTTCAGGAAAAATTCTTAGTTGCAATAGGGAAATAAAGGATTACTTTCCAGTCTGTATTGGATTATGCTTAGATCAGGACCAGGGTCTGAGAAAGACATAACGAGGTGTAGCTCAGAAGGAAACAAAAAAGGAATGTAGAAAAATAATATACGTATATTTATTTTCCTATATGCTGCCTTTTTTCTTAAAATGTTGGTTTCTTTTCTTGATCTTTTTCCAAGTTTCATACTGGGTCTTTTATTTTTCTTTACTTATATTTTTGGGTCAGTCATGAAGCCTTAATTCCAGAACATTTTTATCACCCCAAAGAAAACACATACCCATTAAGAGTCACTTCCAATTTCCCCCTCCCTCTAGCCCCTGGCAGCCACTAAGTACTTTCTGTCTTTATGAACTTGTCTATTGTGAACATTTCATGTAAATGGAATCAAACAATATGTGACCTTTTGTGTCTGTCTGCTTTCATTTAGCATAACATTTTTGATGTTCATCCATGTTGTGGCATGAATCAGTACTTCATTCCTTTTCAATGGCTGAATAATATTCCATTATATGAATATACAACATTTTGTTAATCCATTTATCAGTTGATGGCCATTGGCCTGTATCTACTTTTTGGCTATTATGAATTGTGCTGCTGTGAACATTCATGTACAAGTTTTTGCTTGGACATATGTTATTTCTTTATTCCTAGGAATAGAATTGCTGGGTCATGTGGTGACTCAAATGTTCAACCTTTTGAGGACCTGCCAAACTGTTTTCAAAGCACACCATTTTACATTATCACCAACAGTTTAAGAGGGTTCCCATTTCTCTACATCCTCACTGACACTTGTTATTGTCTGTCTTTTTTATTTTAGCCATCCTAGTGGGTATGAAGTGGCATCTCATTGTGGTTTTCATATGCATTTCCTTATGGACTAATGATGCCAAGCATCTTTTCATGTGGTTATTGGCCATTTGTGTATCTTTGGAGAAATGTCTATTTAAATCCTTTACACATTTTTTATTGGCTTATCTTTTTATTGTTGAATTGTAAGAGTTCTTTATATATTCTGGATGCTAGACCGTTATCACGTATATTATTTGCAAATGTTTTCTCCCATTCTTTGGGTTGTCTTCACTTTTTTGATAAGTGTCCTTTGAAGCACAAAAGTTTTAAATTTTGATGAAGTCCAAAATTGTTTCTTTGAGGCGTAACTCAAACAAGCATCTCTTTAGTGCAGAGACTGATGATCTGGGCAAAGAAGGACCTTGCTCTGGAATGCTAAGACTGGATTCTCTCCCCCCATAGTCTGCTCCAGGAAACCTCTGCACTTCACACTCCAGAGTCCCTGCTCGTGATGGGGAATATCCCAGGTTTTCTGGCCCTCTGAAATTGTGTGAGAGGTGGTGATACAGCATTTTTCAGGGTTTTGCACTTTCTAAAAGCTGGCCCCTCCATGAGCAGGGTGATGGAGTTAGTGCTCTCTGTATCTGGAAACGTAGCATTGTCTGTGGATCATAAATCTCATCTGAGGCGGAAGTGAAACTCATCTCATTAACCGCTGTGACAGCATCTCACCCTCATTCTTGTTTTGTGGTTTCTCCAGTTCTGGACTTTAGCGACCCCTTCAGCACGGAGGTGAAGCCGAGGATCCTGCTCATGGGCCTGAGAAGGAGTGGCAAGTCATCCATCCAGAAAGTTGTCTTTCATAAAATGTCTCCCAACGAAACCCTGTTCTTGGAAAGTACGAACAAGATCTGCCGGGAAGACGTTTCCAACAGCTCCTTTGTTAATTTTCAGATTTGGGACTTCCCAGGGCAGATTGACTTTTTTGACCCTACCTTTGACTATGAGATGATCTTCCGGGGGACAGGAGCACTGATATTTGTCATAGACTCCCAGGTAAGGCTCAGTCTCGGGGTATGGTGGGACTGTAGCCCCCTGCCCCAGGCAGCCCCTTCTTGCAAACAAGTTCCTTTGCAATCATTTTGGTTTGGTTTTTAGAGTCAGGAATAGGACTTTTTACCTGACTGGCATTTCTCAGTTGGGGCTCTCAGGCTTTGCAAAGGGGAAAAGGCTCCCTTCATGCAGCCCTGACCAACATGCGATGTTCGGGAACTGTGTGCTCTCAGCAAACCCTAGAGGAAACCTCACAGACGGGGGGCAGGGGGGACCACCGTGCAGGCCAGTGACACCAACGATGTGTCGCCCCCCCTCTGGTACTCTTGGCAGACATCTATAAAAGATCACAAGTTCTCTATAACAAAAATACATATATATCTACATTTCAAAATGTTTACTATTTCCTTTGAAGATAAAGTTCTAAGTGTGAACATTTTTCTTCTGAATCATTATTGTAATTACTACTAGTACACAATTACAGCAGCATGACTAGTATGTATTTTATAGGTAACTAAATATAAAATGTAAAATTTGAGATACATATATATTTTTTTCCACTTAATTCATGTATCTGTGCTTGACTAAGACAGGATTTGGCATCAATTCTTTTTTTGTTTGTATAGCTGTAAGTACTGAGAAACCTTGTTCACATAAGGTGGGTATGGGGTGAGTTTTGTTCTAGCATTCGCTCAATTGTTTAACTCCTTCTAAGTTATATCCCCTAAATTACCCAATTTTCTATCACAAAAAAATTATTTTTTCATAGTTTATCAGTAGACATCCTGATTGTGTCCTCCTTTAACTTTGCTGAAAGCAAAGAATTGGGAGCCCCTTGACTGGTGAAGAACCTTATCACCCAGGCATTGCTCACTTTATTGGTATTCAGACCAGCCTTCTGAATGGTCTCTTCCGCACCCTGGGTTTTTAAGACCCTGGGCCTTTCTCCTGTGAAGTATGGGCAGAGCTGGTGGTTTAAGGGGAGGAGGGGAAGGGAAGCAGCAGGACCACAGATGCATCTCCGGCAGGTCGTCTTAGCAAAGAGCACAGGTAGCAGGACTGGGACATTGACATTGACGTTCTTCAAACTCTCCATGTGCAGGGACTCTTAGAAAGTGTCCCCAATGGGTGGCCCAGCCCGAAGGCCCTCCTGAGGGCTCTCTTTTGTAGCTGTGGGGGAATAAAAGGCAACAAGTCCTGCAGGAATGCCCTAAGCCAACTCTAAGCTCAGGTCTCAACGTTTCCCTGCAACTGTGGACCTACAATCAGACAGGTAGGGCCAAGCACTCCCAGCCCTTCAGGAGCCCAGTGGTGTTAGGGAGGAAGGGCTGTGAAGACCCTTAGTAATAATGGTTCTGAGCCCACTCTTAGAAAACCATTCTTGGACAAGACTACTCATGCCTGAGAGTATCATAAATTCATTCACGGAACGAGGTGGCTGTTTAATATAAAAATGAAATTTTCAACTCAGCCTTTTAGTTCCAAGCGACTGCATGGTGAACTTGTGGAGCTGTAGTAGCCCTACCCGTGGGTAAGTAGATTCCAACCCTGACTCATCACTTAAAGACAATGGCTTAGGAAGTACTTCCTTCAATACAATATTGTGCATACATAGCAATTTACATTTATGGAATTTGAATTTCCAGTGCACCTCTGTCTCAGGTGTTTGTAATATGGCTAAAATAGGCATACTTGCCTGTTTATTTTTCATTGTTTGGGGTAATTTTATTGCTTCAAAGTGATCCCCTTTTTATGGTTGGTTTGTTTTATTGAAGTATAGTTGATTTACAATATCGATATTTATATTCTTTTTCGGATTCTTTTCCCTTATAGGTTATTACCAAATACTGAGTGTAGTTCCTTGTGCTATACAGTAGGTCCTCGTTGGTCATCTATTTTATACATAGAAGTGTGTATGTGTTAATCCCAAACTCCTAATTTATCCCTCCCCCTCCCACTTGCCTATTTTTATTATTTATTTATTTATTTAGCCTATTTTTAAATTGGAACTGTAATTTGGTTTTAATTTTACCTGAGCTTGAAAAGTGGACCTTCGATTGTGATTGGTAAATGTGTTCTTTGTTTTAGTTTGTTTCTCGGTTTGTTGGGTTTTGTTTTGGCCGTAGGGCGGACAAAGGTATAAGAATGAGAAATACATCTTTTTAAATGACACTTTTTAAAAGGTAGAAAAAAACATTGTTGAGAGTTGTCATTTACTAAAAATAAGGAATCGTTAGATAAGCCGTTTCCAGTGTTTGCCTAATAGGCTTTTCTACTGGAAGCAGCGATAACAATCACATTTGGGGGAATCTTTACTTGATGCGACTGCAAGCACTAAACAAAACCCAACTTGAGGGAAGTGTCTCGGCAACTCTTGAATGTCACTGCCTTCATTTCTAAGCAGTGCTACGTTCATCTGACACCTCATATTTTTTTATTTTTTGCTTGCGAATTCCTCACAATCACAGGATTGCCAGATAAATATATCACCAAGGAGAAAGTGTGTCCTCACAGAATGTTGTAAAATAAAAGAGAATGAAAGCATCAAGAGTAATTTCCCGTGAGCTCCCCGTGTGACACTGCCAGCCCCCTGGCACGGCCCACAGAAAGGACCTCATCTCCAGGGCCACCCTCGGCCCCCGGGAGCCATTTCACATGTGCCTGGGATCCAAACTAGAGTGTCGGCTTGACCCACGTTGGTGATTGTGACCTGCCTCTAATTCCTAGATCTAATTTTGGAATAGAAACCAGGCAGCGTATTTTTCCTTGTAGAATATAATAACAAACACAGTAGAAAAAAAATCATTCACAATCCCTCTGCTCTAATAAATCAAGTCTTTTGTTTCTTTTCATGTAATTTTTGGCCCTTATAGATCTGTACCACTTCATCAGTTTGTTGGTAATCAGACCATTTTATATGCTTGGCTGGGAGGTTAGAGGAGTGATTTCTACTCTTTTGAGACTGTGATAACACTCTTGACTTTGGCTAGTGTTCTCACAGACATGTGCCCTGAACTCCTCTCTTCAGTTAAAGACATAAGGAATAACATTTTTTGAAGTGTAATTTACATGCAATAAATTGCACTCATTTTAAATACACAGTTCAACAAGTTTGACAAATACGCCTCTAACCACCTCACGATCAAGATACAGAATGTTTCCGCCACCGTGAAATCTTCTTTGTGTCCTTTCTCAGACGGCCCCCAAGACCCCAGCCCCAGGCAACTGCTGATATGTGCTTCTTTTCTCTATAGACTAGTTTGCCTTTTCTAGAATTTCTGTATGTGGAATTGTACAGTATGTGGACTTTAGTTTTTATTTGAGATATTGTAAGGTATTAAAAAAGTGCTGCAAATTATTAATCTAGAATTTTTCCAAGATGCTTAATCTGCTATCCCAGTGTCCAGTATTTGTTTTTCATTTTAAACAACTCTTTAAGAGTACAAAGGATGAGGACTCCGCTTGATCTTTGTCTCTCTTCATAGTTTCCTATTAGTATCTTTAATATTTTGATTTATCTAAAAACTAGGGATACATTTTTATTAATTTAATTTGGGGAATACAAGAATGCCTAAAAACATCCCCTGTTTTATTGGCTTTTCTGTATTTGTCCAGGTTTGGAGTCAGAATTGGCAGGGGGCGGTGAAAAGTCCTTTAAATTCTGTCCTGAAGATCCCTTTCTTCAGGATCTTAGTTCCCCCCCAGGGATTGAACCCGGGCCCATGGCAGTGAAAGCGCCCCCATGGCAGTGAAAGCGCCCCCAGGGTCCTAACCACTGGACCGCCAGGCAATTCCCCCCTTTCCTTTTTTTGCTGGAAAAACAAGACCTATTCACACCCTTCAAGTTGGCAATAATGAAGAGACCTGACAACACTGGGTGTTGTTGAGAGTCTGGAGCATCAGGGGCTCTTACACATTATCTAGTCAAGTTCAAGGTGCTCATTCCTATGAGCCAACAAGCCTCCTTTCAGGGTAAGCCCTAAGAAACTTGCAAACAGGCACAGAGATGTGTGCGTGATCACATGTGCGAGATCGTGCACATTATCGTCATCATCTGAACTAGCACATAACTGGAAACATTCTGAATGTTCATCAGCTGGCAAGGGAGTGATAAATTTTAGACCATCCATATGATGGAATTTTATAGAGCTGTTAACAGGAATCATGCACTAGAGTGTGTGCTTCAACAAAGGTGACTCTCACTGACATAATGTGAGTGGAGAAGGCAAACTGTAATCCACATGCAAGTTGATATTTCTGTAAAGTTTTAAACAATGTAAGTGAATTCTGTATGTTGTTCAGTGATACATATGTATGCAGTCATGTATAAAGACATAAGTGATGATACAGGCAGAAGTCAGGATAGTGGTTACCTCTGGAGGGTGTGGGTAGAGTGATGGGATGGGCTGGGAGGATGGGGAGAAACATACAAGGCTTCAGTGTCTAATGTTTGATTTCTTAAACAGAGAGATGCATACACAGGCATTCATTACATTATTACATAGGTATTATCTGTAGGAAGGAGAAAAAAATAGTGTTGTGTTATTTGGGGCAATAACTCTAGACCAGGGGTCAGCAGACTTTTTCTGAAAAGGGCCAGATGGTAATTTTAGGCTTTGCAGGCTGTGCTGTCTCTGAGGAGTTCCCACAGAGGAAAACCATTCAGCTCTGCCACTGTACCCTCAAAGCAGCCATAGACAGTGTGTAAACAAATGAGTGTGACTGTGGTCCAATAAAACTTTACTTACAAACAATAGGTGGGCCCAGTTTGGCCCCAGGGCTATGGTTTGCTGACCTCTGCTCTAGATCAGTGGTTCTTAAATTTTTTCCTCCTGGCTCCTTCCCCATCTTCCCAGTGATCCCTATCATGTTTTCATCCCTGCTTGTTCATTACATTTCACCAAGAGAATCAGAATCCTGGAGGGACAGTATTCCAGGGAAGGTCCTGGATGGTGTGTGGTCATTTTCAATACATAAAACTGCAACTCTGACCTTTGTGACTGTCATCAAGCTAAATCATAACTGTATTTTTCTGGCCTTTCTTTTTCATTTCTTTGTTAACAAAACTTAAGTTTTCAGTCTTGAATTCTATGAAACAGCTTTTATTTGGGCATTTGCAAAATATTTTGGGAGGGGATAGTAAGATTAACAGTGTACGTGGAAGAGAAAAAATGGTACCTGTAAGGTGATGGATTGGTTCATTAGCTTGACTGGGGGGATCCTTTCACAATGGGTACAGATGGGTACACAGTGGTACCAAAACATTAAGTCGTCACCTTAATACATGCAATCTTTGTCAGTCATACCTCAGTAAAGCTGGGAGGGAAGACTGTATGTGGAAGGGAAGCAAAGCAGCCTCCCTGACAGGAGTGTGCTTTGTTCCCAGGACGATTACATGGAGGCCCTGGCCAGGCTCCACCTCACGGTGACCAGGGCCTACAAAGTGAACACCGACATCAACTTCGAGGTGTTTATTCACAAAGTGGATGGTCTGTCAGATGACCACAAAATTGAAACCCAGAGAGATATTCACCAGAGGGCAAATGATGACCTTGCAGATGCTGGATTAGAAAAAATTCACCTCAGGTGAGAACAGAAACCCATCAGGGATCATTGGGGTCCAGAGCCATCAGGAGTGGCTTGGCCCGGACTGTCATTTAGAGTCACGGAGCCCTGTGTACCCTGTTTTGTGCTGTAGACATTGGGGTAGTATTTGGGAAAAGCAAGCTTTGCATGTGCCAACTCTAATCTTTGGGAAAAGCGGTGGGGTTTTAGAACAATTTTTTGGACCAAAGGTCAAAGCTAAGGTTCTTTCCCCCCTATGAAAAACACATAGGAGAAAACCCATGAACTGCATCCAGGAAGTTAATCGATGCTGAAGTTTACTGTTACAGATAGTATCTATAATCATAAGTAAAGGAATACTCTGAAAATCATTCAAATAGAAATATTCACAGAGGAAAGCCATTTCTCTAATTTTTGTGGGGTAGTATGTATATGCATCATTCATTTTGCAAATTGGAAAAATGGAAAGATTAGATGCTTCAGTATCAATAACATAACTGTTATTAACATGAGAGGTGTGTATAAAGATGATCTGGTGTGGATTCTCTTGCAGAATGTAAGGATGCTGATATAGGCATATACGGCTGCATTTTTAGTATATGTGCTGCCGAAGCAAGCACGTGGGCTGCATTTTTAAGCCTCCTATAGTCCAGCCAGTCAGCAGATCAGAATGGGCACAGTTCTTGCTTTGGGGAGTTGGGCAGGAATGTCTTGTTAAGACATGTTCATTTTTTTACTGAGGTTGTTTTGAATTCTGAAAGGGGCTAGAATGTGTGTGTAGTAAATACAGAAGGCATGATTCTGGTGTTACGACATAGCCTGAACAGTCTATTCCTCAGTCAAAGGTAAAAAGTGATGAAATATTGTTTCATCTTTCAGCTTTTATCTGACAAGCATATATGATCATTCAATATTTGAAGCTTTTAGCAAAGTGGTTCAGAAGCTGATTCCACAACTCCCCACCCTGGAGAATTTGCTAAACATCTTTATCTCAGTAAGTAAATAATACTGTCCTGTTAGAGTCATTTGCGGAATTTAAGAATAACATTGCAAGAGTGAAAATGATCTTATTTCTACTTGCTCTTACAGCACTTCAAGTTCACTGAAATATTTTTGAAGATTGTGCCTATGTACTGTTTTAGGGCCTTTAAAATTTAACTGCCAAAACGATTCCTGTACTTCACTTGTATAATCGGAATGTTTATTCAAGTTGTAGGCAATTCAGTGTTAATGGAATCCTACCAGAGTTTGGGAGCATAAAAGTTGGTTTTGGCTATAAGATATATACTGTTGAATTTTTAAAAATACGTTTAACACTGTGAATGATGTGCTGTCTGGCTGAGTCCTAAAAACCACCACGTCAAGTCAAACTTCACAAAATAGAATTAAGGCAGTCCTTTGGTTGTATTCACATTGATTCTCACTGCACAATTTTGAGTTTGTTTGTCTAGATTTTTTAAATCTATTTTTAAATTTAAAGTTTTTAAAATGCTTTTGTTTTTACTTGGCCTTTTTCCTAACTGCACGTACATTTCTAAGAGTCAGGAAACACTACTTAATTTGTTTACCTAAAGTAAATAATTCGTGATAATTCCAGTTTTCATTTCTTGTGCAAATCCATTATAAAGAAGCTTATGACAATGAGGTTTAAATTGTAATAAAATGGAACAACCTAAATTTTTGCTGGTTCATATTTGAGACTGAGGATGGCATATCATTTTACGTAACCATGACATGCTCTGCAATCAGCTGTCCCTTTAAGGCCGCATCTCCTTTTCTGTTTCAGAATTCTGGAATTGAAAAGGCGTTTCTGTTTGATGTGGTCAGTAAGATTTACATTGCAACTGATAGTACCCCCGTGGATATGCAAACCTATGAGCTCTGCTGTGACATGATCGACGTGGTTATCGACATTTCTTGTATTTATGGGTAAGTAGAACATTCTGAAAGGCTACAATTGAGCCATACTTTTCTTTCATAACCTTTGAGAATTTTGCATTTGCTTATTTGATCTTAATACTTTTGTTTGAAATGACTGAGATCTATAAATACACCATTTCGTATGTAATAATAATAACAAAACATTATTGAGTAAATGCCTGGCATTATGCTAATAATTTCATTGCCCACATTATTATCATTGAATTCTCCACTATTCCTCGAGGCAGGAATTACTATCACCATCTTATAGATGGGGCACTGAGGTCCAGAGTGGTTAAGTTTCTAACCCCTGCTCACACTGTCAATAAGGGACAGAATTAGTATTGTATTTGAGCTCAAGTCTGATACGTTCTTCCTCTACTGAAAAATCTGTTGTCATACCATAATGTATTTACTTGAGGGAGACCACTAGGATCCTTGGATTCTACATAAATATCTCATGTTTACCACAGTTCTATTATTTTCTTCTTTACATGAAATAACTGCTGTTTTTTCAATATAGTTTTGATTGTCTTCTATGGTGGATAGCAGAGAATTATTAAAGTAAGCAAACAACATTACCTGCTTATTATTATTATCTTATATTCTTAGAAAACAGAACTTCTTGTACATTTAAAATAATATAAAATAAACAGGCATGGGGAAAATTGATTCTGTTACCAGACATAGAAATAATTCCACATAATTGTGAATTTGCTGAATTCAGGGTGTTTTACAGAGTGAGTGGGTGTGACCTTGTATGTCTATCTTATTAAGGCAATGCATTGTTGCTGCCTTGTATTCATATTGAATCTCACAGCCTCACACACCCATCGATGAGATAAAGCTGTCCTTCATCTTCCTCTTTACTCACTGGCTGTGACTCGCTTTACACAGCCTCCTCTGCCAACTTCTGGGCGAGCCTCAGTCTTACCATTTCTCTCTTCCATTCAGTTTAGACTCTTTCTGTTAACTGTTATACACACATGAACACCCACAGTCCCTTCCCTTACGAAACAGGGAAAGTGATTCTTACCTCACAGGACTGTAGTGAGGATGCAATATCATTAGGCTTCCCCTGGTGGACCCTGGATAAATGTAGCTGCCATTATAATTATTATTAATTATTGTTATTCTTACTAAACACTGCCACTGGCTTTAGAAATAGACCTTATTTTCCACGATCGCTGCCCTGCAGTATTCTCTTGTTTTGAAACTCTAAGTGGATGACCTTGAAATAGTCATGGAAGCTGAAACTACCCTGATTACAGTCTAGATGGCTGTCGTGATCAAATACAATGAACAACACAATTAATCTGACACATGTTTAATGATATGCATAATCATTATTTTGCTATATGGTAATTAGACATAAGTGGTAAGTTGTTCATATAAATGATGTTAATCAGAGTTACTTTTATCCACCTAAAACAAACACGGGGAGGGAGGGGTTGGGCGGAGGAGGGAGCAGGGCCTTGCTGGTAGATTGCTTTTCTGTTGCCGAGTGCAGTGTTCCTGGGAGCCCGCCCGGTTCAGTAAGAACCGGTCTGGGTATGGGTCACAAATGGGGCGTGAGTTCTGGGGTTTCTTGAGACTGTTTGCTGGAGCAGCCATGAGCCAGCCCATGTGGCCTGCAGGGGGTGGCCGGGGATGCATGCCACAGCCCGGGAAGCAGGCAGCCCTGTAATTGGAGACCTTAGAAGCAGGTGACCTGGTCTGCTCAAGAATCTCAGCTGGGATTCTGAAAACGTATACACAGTTTCAGATAAGGGAAAAGGTACAGGACGTGCTCCTTTGCCTATAAAGAAAGGATACATAACTGGTTACATCAGTGGCTTCAGAGGGCTCAATTTTGATCATTAAGGCCATATTAATAATGATAATAGCAGTTAGCATGTATTGTGCATTTTATATGCTCTCAGCACTATGCTTAGCACTATATATGTATTATTTCATTGCATTAGGAAACTTTGAGGTAATTATTGTTCATGTACAGTTGAGGAAATTGAGGCTCAAAGAAGTTACTCAATTTGCCCAAACTTATGCGATAAATAAGAGAGCTGGGATTCAAACCCAAGTCATTTGTGTTTGCAGGCCACACCTTTTCGTAAATAGACCAATTTATTTATTTAACTTTTTATTTTGAAAAAATTTCCAATCTATGGAAAATGTGCAAGAATAGTACAGTGAACTCCTATGTACCCTTCACTGGGATTCACCAATTTTTATCAGTTTGCCATATTTGCTCTTTCTTTCTTTTTCTAATACAGCTGACCCTCCATGTGGGTTCCATATCCGCAGATTCAACCAACCAGCGGATTGAAAATATTCAGAAAAAAAAAACCCAGAAAATGCCAAAAAGCAAAACTTGAATTGGCCGCATGCTGGCAACTATTTACATAGCATTTACATTGTATAATCTAAGGATACTTAAAAGTGTATGGGAGGGAATTAATTGATATTTATAGGACATTCTATCCAAGAACAACAGAATACACTTTCTTCTCAAGTGCTTATGGAACATTCCCCAGGATAGATCATATCTTGGGTCACAAATCAAGCCTTGGTAAATTTAAGAAAATTGAAACTGTATCACATATCTCTTCCAACCACAATGCTGTGAGAATAGATATCAGTTACAGGAAAAAATCTGTAAAATATACAAACACATGGAGGTTAAACAATACACTACTTAATAACCAAGAGATCACTGAAGAAATCAAAGAGGAAATCAAAAAATACCTAGAAACAAATGACAATGAAAACACGACAACCCAAAACCTATGGGATGCAGCAAAAGGAGCTTTAAGAGGGAAGTTTATAGCAATACAATCCTACCTCAAGAAACACGGAACATCTCAAATAAACAACCTAACCTTACACCTAAAGCAATTAGAAAATGAGAAAAAAAGCCCCCAATGTTAGCAGAAGGAAAGAAATCAAAGATCAGATAAGAAATAATGAAAAAGAAATGAAGGAAACGATAGCAAAGATCAATAAAACTAAAAGCTGGTTCTTTGAGAAGATAAACAAAATTGATAAACCATTAGCCAGACTCATCAAGAAGAAAAAGGGAGAAGACTCAAATCAATAGAATTAGAAATGAAAAAGGAGAAATAACAACTGACACTGCAGAAATACAAAGGATCATGAGAGATTACTACAAGCACCTATATGCCAATAAAATGGACAACCTGGAAGAAATGGACAAATTCTTAGAAAAGCACAACCTTCTGAGACTGAACCAAGAAGAAATAGAAAATATAAAGAGACCAATCACAAGCACTGAAATTGAGACTGTGATTAAAAATCTTCCAACAAACAAAAGCCCAGGACCAGATGGCTTCACAGGCGAACTCTATCAAACATTTAGAGAAGAGCTAACACCTATCCTTCTCAAACTCTTCCAAAATATAGCACAGGGAGGAACACTCCCAAACTCATTCTACGAGGCCACCATAACCCTGATACCAAAACCAGACAAATATGTCACAAAGAAAGAAAACTACAGGCTAATATCACTGATGAACATAGATGCAAAAATCCTCAACAAAATACTAGCAAACAGAATCCAACAGCACATTAAAAGGATCGTACATCATGATCAAGTGGGGTTTATCCCAGGAAAGCAAGGATTCTTCAATATACGCAAATCAATCAATGTGATAAACCATATTAACAAATTGAAGGAGAAAAAAACATATGATCATCTCAATAGATGCAGAAAAAGCTTTCAACAAAATTCAACACCCATTTATGATAAAAACCCTCCAGAAAGTAGGCATAGAGGGAACTTACTCAACATAATAAAGGCCATATATGACAAACCCACAGCCAACATCGTTCTCAATGGTGAAAAACTGAAACTATTTCCTCTAAGATCAGGAACAAGACAAGGTTGCCCACTCTCACTATTATTCAACATAGTTTTGGAAGTTTTAGCCGCAGTAATCAGAGAAGAAAAAAAAATAAAAGGAATCCAAATTGGAAAAGAAGAAGTAAAGCTGTCACTGTTTTCAGATGACATGATACTATACATAGTGAATCCTAAAGATGCTACCGGAAAACTACTAGAGCTAATCAATGAATTTGGTAAAGTTTCAGAATACAAAATTAATGCACAGAAATCTCTGGCATTCCTATACACTAATGGTGAAAAATCTGAAAGAGAAATTAAGGAAACACTCCCATTTACCATTGCAACAAAAAGAATAAAATATCTAGGAATAAACCTACCTAAGGAGACAAAAGACCTGTATGCATAAAACTATAAGACACTGATGAAAGAAATTAAAGATGATACAAACAGATGGAGAGATATACCATGTTCTTGGATTGGAAGAATCAACATTGTGAAAATGACTGTACTACCCAAAGCAATCTACAGATTCCATGCAATCCCTATTAAACCACCAATGGCATTTTTCACAGAACTAGAACAAGAAATTTCACGATTTGTATGGAAACACAAAAGACCCCGAATAGCCAAAGCAATCTTGAGAAAGAAAAACAGAGCTGGAGGAATCAGGCTTCCAGACTTCAGACTATACTACAAAGCTACAGTAACCAAGACAGTATGGTACTGGCACAAAAACAGAAATAGAGATTAATGGGACAGGATAGAAAGCCCAGAGATAAACCCACACACATATGGTCATTTTATTTTTGACAAAGGATGCAAGAATATACAATGGAGAAAAGACAGCCTCTTCAATAAGTGGTGCTGGGGAAACTGGACAGCTACATGTAAAAGAATGAAATTAGAACGCTCCCTAACACCATACACAAAAATAAACTCAAAATGGATTAAAGACCTAAATGTAAGACCAGACACTATTAAACTCTTAGGGGAAAACATAGGCAGAACACTCTATGACATAAATCACAGCAGGATCCTTTTTGACCCACCTCCTAGAGAAATGGAAATAAAAACAAGAATAAACAAATGGCACCTAATGAAACTTCAAAGCTTTTGCACAGCAAAGGAAACCATAAACAAGACCAAAAGACAACCCTCAGAATGGGAGAAAATATTTGCAAATGAAGCAACTGACAAAGACTTAATCTCCAAAATTTACAAGCAGCTCATGCAGCTCAATATCAAAAAAAGAAACAACCCAATCCAAAAATGGGCAGAAGACCTAAATAGACATCTCTCCAAAGAAGATATACAGATTGCCAGCAAACACATGAAAGGATGCTCAACATCACTCATCACTAGAGAAATGCAAATCAAAATTACAATGAGGTATCACTTCACACCTGTCAGAATGGCCATCATCAAAAAATCTACGAACAATAAATGCTGGAGAGGGTGTGGAGAAAAGGGAATCCTCTAGCACTGTTGGTGGGAATGTAAATTGATACAGCCACTATGGAGAAGAGTATGGAGGTTCCTTAAAAAACTAAAGATAGAACTACCATATGACCCAGCAATCCCACTACTGGGCATATACCCTGGGAAAACCATAATTTAAAAAGAGTCACGTACCACAATGTTCATTGCAGCTCTACTTAGAATAGCCAGGACATGGAAGCAACCTAAATGTGCATTGACAGATGAATGGATAAAGAAGATGTGGCACATATATACAATGGAATATTAGCCAGCTATAAAAAGAAACGAAATTGAGTTATTTGTAGTGAGGTGGATGGACCTAGAGACTGTCATACAGAGTGAAGTAAGTCAGAAAGAGAAAAATAAATATCGTATGCTAACACATATATATGGAATCTAAAAAAAAAAAAAAAAGGTTCTGAAGAACCTAGGGGCAAGACAGGAATAAAGACGCAGACGTAGAGAATGGACTTGAGGACCCGGGGAGGGGGAAGGGTAAGCTGGGACGAAGTGAGAGAGTGGCATGGACTTATATACACTACCAAGTGTAAAATAGATAGCTAGTGGGAAGCAGCCGCATAGCACAGGGAGATTAGCTCTGTGCTTTGTGACCACCTAGAGGGGTGGGATAGGGAGGGTGGGAGGGAGATGCAAGAGGGAGGAGATATGGGTGTATATGTGTAGCTGATTCACTTTGTTGTAAAGCAGAAACTAACACACCATTGTAGCAATTATACTCCAATAAAGATGTTAAAAAAAAAGAAGTATATGGAAGGATGTGTGTAGATTATATGCGAATACTGTGTCTTTTTTGTTTTTTTGCGAGACGCGGGCCTCTCACTGTTGTGGCCTCTCCCGTTGCGGAGCACAGGCTCTGGCCATGGCTCACGGGCCTAGCCGCTCCGCGGCATGTGGGATCTTCCCGGACCGGGGCACAAACCTGTGTCCCCTGCATCAGCAGGCGGACTCTCAACCACTGCGCCACCAGGGAAGCCCATACTGTGTCGTTTTATATAAGAGACTTGAGCATCTGCAGATTTTGGTATCTGCTGGGGGAAATCCTGGAACCAAGCCCCTCCCCCCGCCCCCATAGTGAGGGATGACTGAACGTGTTTGTTTTTGCTGAACTAATTGGGAGGAATTTGTAACATGATTCTATAGGAATCATGTCCTATAACAAGGATGTTTTCTTGTAGGATCACAGTTTTAACTTTCAAATTAAACTTATTTAACATATCTGCATTACTCTTATCTAATATAGAGTCCATTTTCAAATTTTACCAAAGGTCCCAATTCTATGTTTCATAGCAGTTTTTTTGCTGGATCTAGCCCAGCATTTTGCTGCCGTTTCTCTTCAGGCTGCTTTATTTTGGATCAGTTCTTCACCCCTTCTTGGTCTTTCATCAGGCTGTGCTTTGGGCAGCCTGGTTATTCTGTCACGAGAGAAAACTGGAAGCCCTTGTGGGCTACAGAGGGGAGAAGAACTAACCTCCATCCCTCACCTGTGTTCCTCAGGTGCCTGGAGAGTTGCCCAGCTGACACACCACACTCAGTGTGTCAGTAGGAAAGTGACTGTCATACGCTGTGTACATTCTTGTGATTGGGGGTTTCTGAGATCTTTAGCCGAAAGGCACTGTAAGTGTAAACTCCCTGTCATTATGATTATCATTCTCTTTGTGAAAGCTGGTCTCCGTCTCTGGGTTACAAACTGAAGTTCTTTCTCAATTGTCAAATATGTTTTGGTTTCTGTCCCCATTTAGTCTCAAAGAAGATGGAGCAGGAACCCCTTATGACAAGGAATCAACAGCCATTATAAAGCTGAATAATACAACAGTTCTTTATTTAAAAGAGGTGACCAAGTTCCTGGCTCTCGTTTGCTTTGTCAGAGAGGAAAGCTTTGAAAGAAAAGGTAATTTTTTGTGTGATTTAAATGAAGCATTTCCATTCAGACGTTGAATGCAGGTAGACAGCAGTGTGCCTTGGGAAGCTTCCAGACTTTAGTCACAGGCCCCTTTGGCTCCTCCCGACATCCTGGGGTTTTGGGATCCGTGAACCAGCCTGCTCTCTAGTGATGCAGCTGCCGTGAGGTGGTAGTGGAACCACACCATCCTCCCAGGGAGGGGCTTGAGCTTTTCTGGGAGCAGAGCCAGCTGGGGCGTTGTTGCCAGGCTGTAGATCTCTTACCCCGGGGAGGTCCCCTAGCCTACAGGGGGTGCCAAGGCCTCCCTCTTGGTCCACACCCATAGAAGGTATTAGGGACCTTGTGACCACTTGTCCTCCCCGTGTAAAGGATGAAACTCATACAACATTAAAGCTAGATGTTATTTAACTTCTGTTCAGCCCTTGTCCATTCTTTAGTCCTAAAACACAGGGACAGCATCGTGATTTCAAAACAGGGAGATATGAATATATTTATTAACGTCACCAAATATCTTTTTAGGACCAAATTTAGTTTTATTTGGAAACAAAAGCAATTAACCCTCATAAAGATACTCATATTCCCCCGCCCTGCCGGGCACCACTATGTAAACTGGGAAATATCAGTTTACTGATGTAGCTAAGGATTTTTGCTAGTAATTAGGGGATGATTTACCCTAAATTCCCAACAAAGTGGCAATAGTAACATTTTCTGAAATAGCCTTTCTTCTTATATGCAATACATGTTCATTATAAAAATACTTTGAAAACTTAGGAAAGTATAAAAAAGTCAGTTTTACCATCTAGAGCTAAACTCCATGTTAAATTTCTGGGATTTTTTTTCTCCTTCCTTTTCTCCCTCCCTTTCATCTTTCATCCCTTCTTTCCTTCCTTTCTTCCAACAAAAGTGGTGCCATATTGCCTATATAATTTTCTATCCTGTTGTTTTCACTTATTTATATCATGAAAATCTTCTTAATTCATTGAGCCTGAAAACATGATTTAGATTTTTATTTTTTTAATTAATTTATTTTTTTTGCAGTACGCGGGCCTCTCACTGTTGTGGCCTCTCCCGTTGCGGAGCACAGGCTCCGGACGCGCAGGCTCAGCGGCCATGGCTCACGGGCCCAGCCGCTCTGCGGCATGTGGGATCTTCCCAGACAGGGGCACGAACCCGTGTCCCCTGCATCGGCAGGCGGACTCTCAACCACTGCGCCACCAGGGAAGCCCATGATTTAGATTTTTATTACTTCTTTTTGTTACAGAGTAATAGATTCATTTAGAAAATTTAGATATAATAAATAAGCAAAAAGGAAATAATTATTAATAAGCTTCTCACTCACATAATCACTCTTGATATTTTTTTGTATAACTTTCCAGTTTTTTCATAGATATCTCTATATATGGGATTATATAATAAATACTACTTTATAACCTTCACTTAAATTATTACAGACATCTTTCCAATTCATTAAATCTTTTTTTAACCACATCATTTTAATGATTAGTTTCTTCTATTGTTAGAAATGTGTGTTGTTTCTAGATTTTGATGTTATAAATAATCCATAATGACCTTCTTTCCACTAAATATTTGTGTACATCTTTGGTTATTTCCTCAGGAAATACTTCAACAAATGGAATTACTTAGATCAATACATTTTGGTAGCTTCTAATGCATATTACCAAAATGTCCTTCAGAAAGTTTTTACAGGTTTATGCTACTAAGAGAATATGAGTGTGTCCATTTTGCTTTATTCTCATTAATATTGGGTATTAGCATTAAACATTGATAATTGAAAACAAATTTACATTTTTTCTGCTTCTTAGTGAAGTTGTGTATTTTTTCATGTATTTACTATTACCAGCCAAATTGCCTGTTATGTCCTTGGCCCTCAAAACTTTTAATTAAATGCTGGTAATCTTTTACTTTTTATTTTCATCTTGCTGAAACTAAGAACAGATTATATAATGGATTCGTGGAATTTTGAAGATAGACAGGACCATCCTGTGTTTCACTCTCTCAGTTACTGATGATTTTACCCAGACCCAGGAAATAGAAGTGACTTTCCCCTATGGTCATACCACCAGTGTATAGCAGTCTGGGCTAAAGATTTCTAGGCTTCTCCCTGTATGGAATCAGTTCTGTGTATTGCGTTTTAAACCATTATACATATATTCCCTTGGTTAAAGATATTTCTAGAATTTATATTTGGTGATTAATATTTTGTGTTGATTTTGGAAACTAAGGAAAGTAAAAGTAATGCAAATAGTACAACTATAGACCCCAAACCATCTAGGGTGATGACAGGTCCTAAAATTTAGGTTACAATAACATCAACCTTGAGAGCTTGTTTATTTTGAACTGATTTTACACTTAACAGAAAAGTCGCAAAAATAGTACGTAGTTTATATATACTCATCCAGCTTCCCGAAATGTTAACATGTTACGTACTGTAGTACAGTTTTCAAAGCTAGGGAATTAACATCAGTATAATACTATCAATATTAATAAAACTTACAGACCTTATTCAAATTTCACCAGTTTTTCCAAAAATACCTTTTTTTTCTGTTCCAGGATCCCAAATTGATTTAGTTATTATTTCTCCTAGTCCCCTCCAATCTGTGATGGTCTTTCTGACACTTTTGAAGAGTACTCATCAATTATTTTTTTACAACGTTCCTCAAATTGGGTTTGTCTGGTATTTTCACACAATTGGAGTGAGATTATGCAATTTGGCCAGAATACCACACAGAAATGATATTGTGTCCTTAGCGTATCATATGTTTACGATGTTAGTTCGGCTTATTACTGGCGATGCTGACCTTGATTTAGTTAAGATAGGGTCTACCAGGTCTTTCCCCTGGAGAGTTCCTACTTGTCACTTTGTAGTGAATAAATACTTTCAAACTATGCAAATCCTCTTTCTCCTCACACTTTTGCCCACTAATTTTAATGTCCATCTCTGGTCTTGTGAGTTAATTTAAGCCCAAATTTCTCATGTGGATCTTGGGCAACTTATTGTTAAACCGCCTAGGGAGGATCATCTCTGAAGATAGGCAGATTTTGTAAAATTTAGTAAACTAGAGTCCTGCTGGTGCTGATAATCAACACTTGTTAGTTGACTTGTCCTGATGTTGGTCTCTGTCTGTGTTTTCGTGGATGATTTCTGACGGCTTTGGCAGAAAGAGGAGGATAGAAAGCGGAAGTGGGATTCTTGGTCTTAGCTGCACATCGTAGGCACACTGGGAAGGGAGGTGGTTAAAAAATATGGCCATCGAGGCCTGCCACAGAACAATTAGAACAGAATTCCTGGGAGAGGAACCTGGGGTTTGTTAATCTTTAAAAAGTTCTCTGGATGCTTTTAATATGCAGCTGTGATTGAGAATCACTGAACCAAGAGAAGGAGGTAGGACCATCCCATAGCCGCGTATGGTGCTGGACATACTGCTTGTTCTGTTCGTGTCTCTGTTCCTGTATTTTCTTTTTTTTTAATAAATTAATTTATTTATTTTTGGGCTGTGTTGGGTCTTCGTTGCCTCATGTGGGCTTTTCTCTAGTTGGGGCGAGCGGGGGCTACTCTTCATTGCGGTGCGCGGGCTTCTCATTGCGGTGGCTTCTCTTGTTGCAGAGCATGGGCTCTAGGCACACGGGCTTCAGCTGTTGTGGCACGTGGGCTCAGTAGTTGTGGCTCACGGGCTTAGTTGCTCCACGGTATGTGGGTTCTTCCCGGACCAGGGCTTGAACCCGTGTCTCCTGCATTGGCAGACGGATTCTTAACCACTGTGCTTCCAGGGAAGCCTGTATTTTCAACTGCGTTTTATGAAAGAGTTGAAATAAACAGCAAACTCTTTGTAGGCACTTCCTTTAAAAACCTCAGTTGTGAATTTTCACTTTTAAAGCTCCAAATGCAGCAAGATTACTGTTACATCTAATTTTATTTATTTTTATTTTTTTATAAATTTATTTATTTAGTTTATTTTTGGCTGTGTTGGGTCTTTGTTGTGGTGTGCGGGCTTCTCATTGCAGTGGCTTCTCTTGTTGCAGAGCACGAGCCCTAGGTGCACGGGCTTCAGTAGTTGTGGCTCGCCGGCTCTAGAGCACAGGCTCAGTAGTTGTGGCGCACGGGCTTAGCTGCTCCGCGGCATGTGGGATCCTCCCGGAGCAGGGCTCGAACCCGTGTCCCCTGCATTGGCAGGCGGATTCCCAACCACTGTGCCACCAGGGAAGCCCCTACTGTTACATTTTAAATGTGCACCATGAATAAATTGAGATTTGTCAGGAATCATCAGTAGGCTGGATCTGAAATTTCCCAAGTTGAATTCTAATTGAGCCAAAGTCCGCTAGCTAAGCTTTCTGCCTAAGGCAGTTGGTTGCACACATAGGCAGAGAATTTTGAGGTCGTTCTCACATCTCTTATCCAAACTCCCACTAAATAAAATCATTTCTATGCTCCATGTTTCTTTCTGTTTTTGAAGTTCATGCTTTGTTTGGAAGATGGTTCCAAGAAATAAAAGTGAGGAAGTGGGGAAATAGACAAGGGAGGTAGAAAAGCCATCCACAGTGGGAGCTGTATGCTCATTCATGCTGGGGGAATCTCGGAGAAGCTGTGTGCAAGAAATTCGGAATCACCCCCATTGGGCATGCAAGACTTCCACATTTGTCCACCAACTCCCATGTCTCTTTGTGTGAGGGATACCCTCAGAAACGTTTATTTCCATAGCCCTGGTACCTGTCTGTGTACCAAAGAAAGCTTCAGGCAGAGAAGAGATGCCCATACCTGGGCTTGCTTATTTCTTATTACTTTCTCCCTCCTGCCTCACTGGTCTTTTCTTGAGGAAATTGTCTCGTAGTTTTATTGCACTGTGGTCACTATCACTGCAGAAGCAGCAGAGGGCGCCACTCAGAGAGTTTCCTGCTCCTGGAAGCTGAGATGGTGTTTCTTCCAGCCTGCCTGTGGTTGGTTACATGACTGCTTTGAAGCATTTCTCTTCTTGTCTGGAAAACAATTCTTTTTTTCGGGGGGGTGGGGGGGTACTCTGGAAGCATCACCTGAGTGGATGCAAATAATTTTGGGACTAGTTATTTTAATAAATTTAAAGATAGTAAATGGAACCCACTGCCTTATCCTAATTGGTATAAACGTAATGCTCTCAACACTTTACAAGTTAGTGGTGATGATGAGAAATATGCTCAGGACAGATTATATTTTATTCTATTTTGTATCACTTCTACAAAATTCTATTAATTTCTGAAAATACAAGAAGATTCTCCACTATTATTCTCCATTTAAAATTTACTTCATATTGAAAAACTGAGAGTGTCATAGGTTGTTGAATTCCTGGGCTCAGAGTTCACCTGAGGTGATGATAACCACTCTAAAATTAGGGACTGGGCTTCCCTGGTGGCGCAGTGGTTGAGAGTCCGCCTGCCGATGCAGGGGACACGGGTTCGTGCCCCGGTCCGCGAAGATCCCACATGCCGCGGAGCGGCTGGGCCCGTGAGCCATGGCCGCTGAGCCTGCGCGTCCGGAGCCTGTGCTCCGCAACGGGAGAGGCCACAACAGTGAGAGGCCCGCGTACCGCAAAATAAATAAATAAATAAAATAAAATCAGGGACTTTTGTTTTCCCCAGGGCTTATGACAACGGCTCTGTGACCTTGAGATCTCAGCTACACTCCAAGTCAGGGTCTGCCTCCACTCAGAGTCAATTTAATAATACCTTTTGGGGAAAAAATACTAATAAGTATTTCACTGAAGATATATCTTAATTGTTCTTACAATCTTTAATTCTGAAAGATTTTTTAAAAAGGCAGTTCAATTGGTTCTTCAAACTTCTTGGGTCATAGACACCTTTGAAAATGTGGTATATACTCTGGAACCTTTCGTTAGTAAAAATATATATAGTCACAAGACTTTGCCTGCAATTCCTGAAGCCCAGCTGCACACCTCCTAGAGAAATCTATAGATCTTATGTTAAGCCTGCTCCTCTACCGCCCCCTACTGGCTTGTCTTCGCCATAGCTGCCATGAAAAGAGATTATTTCTAGGCGGCACCTCTATAAATATTTTTGTTTTCTTCTCCAGGGCTGATTGACTATAATTTTCATTGCTTCCGGAAGGCCATCCATGAAGTTTTTGAGGTGAGAATGAAAGTGGTGAAATCACGAAAGGTTCAGAATAGGCTGCAGAAGAAAAAAGGAGCCACCCCTAACGGGACGCCTAGGGTGCTGCTGTAGGTGAGGTTTCAGGAACATCTTTTGAAATCAGACCTTTCAATGAGGCTGCTGCTCTGTGTTGCACTAAAGGAAGAGGAAGAAGGAGATGGGGACACATGACATATATTTGCTGTAAAAAAAAAATTCCTGCAACCCACTTGATCTTCTCTTTTTTTTAAATAAAGTAAGCACTTTGAAGCAAAAACGTATATTAACAATGAAGTGAAATCTACTGTAACTTCATTACACAAATGTAAACTTTTATGGTCTGTAGTCAGAAAAAATCCTGTGTGAGAACTGCCAGGAACTGTATATATTTTGCACTTTTTCATGTTTATTTTTTTTTCCTCATTGAACTAAACTTTGATAAAACAACTTTTCTAGGCTCTTTTCTGTCCTTGGTGTCTAGGACATGCATACCGAGTCCATATCTATAGGGCAGTCAGAAAGTAATCAAAAAGTGATGCGTTGGCAATGACTTTTTATAAATTTGGGAATCTTTGCTACCAATTGTTGAGAAAAAACATTTTTCAGTGGAGGAACAGATTGGGGCAGCAAGCTCCAGGAGCAATAAGAACTGTCCCCTGTTTATAACTGACATAAATAGAAGTTTTATAGAATAATATTAGCACCAAACTTATCTAAAAATTTCTATAGCCGTGACAGTGCTTCCCTAGTCGACCCTTTTTACAAAACTCTTTACCTCAACACACATCTCTATAATCATTTTATACAGAGAGGTTATTTCTTTTTGCTGCATTACTGTTCTTTAGAACCTTTGGGACCAGATTTCCAAAATGGTGCCGATCAATGGAGAGAAATCAGAATGTCACTAAATTGCAGGGTTTCTGGAGGCTTTTCTGTACCTGCCACTCAGGCTAAAGTAATAACATCAGAGGCCACATGGTTTCCCAAATGTAGGTGATTGGCAACTGCAGATTTTAAAATACGTCCTATACAATGTTTGGCCCCTGTGGAATGAGCCTCTTACTGTGCAACATTGCAAATGTTTATTTAGGACCAGTTTTTTTGTTGTTGTTGTTTTTGCATTGCTCCACGACCACAGGTAATATCTCAGTTCTCTGCCACAGAGCTGAATCCTGATGGGCACATTTGTCCCCTCTGAGTCTCCCTCTCACCTGTGACAGTGTGCCTTGTGGACTCTGCCTGTTTCCACCTTATGATTGAACTAGAGCTCGACTCTCCAGCAGCGTGTTCTGCATGGCTAAAGAGCCATCCTGAAAACCTCTAAAGGTCAGTGGAAAAGGATGGCCAGGGGAGGCATTACAGTTAGCTTTGTGTCTGTTTCTATGAAATTCTTCCACTTACGTTTACTTTAGGCCAACAGCAAGTTAATAGATTCTAAATCTACCCCCATCCCAAACCATTCCAAGTAGCTTATTCTAGATCCGTCCCAAGGGTCAGTGCCCTAAGGAAAGCATGTTGGCAGGTATTAGAAAATGTTTTTAGCAGAGCCTCATAGGGATAGCAATGCTGATCCTAGCAAAAATGGATCAGGTTCCTAAAGCAACTTGTTCTTGAAGCTATCCCACTACTATCTACAGCTTCTTTCCATCCTCTCGCCTTCCATCCTTTTCCCAAGTCCTATTCCTTTGAGGCTGGTAACTGTAATTTAAGATGGTAGCTGATTGGGGTTTAAGGTTTGAGCCCTCCCAAGGGTCTGTGCATTTGGGAAGGAAATTTCTAAAAATCATGAAGGTGCCCTAACTCCCTTCCTCATGATTCCTACTCAGAAACACAGGTGGGTAGGAAGCCAGGGTTCCAGGGAAGTCTTTTTCCTAACTTTCAGACCTATAACCTGTTAGACCTTTGCCAACATGGTACATGGAAGTTATTCTTATAAATCTATTCTTTAATATTTTTACACAGTGTTTCTTTTTGGATAAGCAAATAAAGAATCACTTTTCTAAAGTGACTTTATCCTCAAGATAGAGACATTTACCTATCTGGTAAATCACACATTACTTAGGTATATATGTTATTATAACCAGGTGGAGCTTCCATTTTTAAGCTGGGTATATGATGGGTTTTTGTTAAAATGTGCCTTAAAAGCCTATTACTTCAAGAGCAAATGATTCTTTGGGGGAAAGGCAAAGTTAATGCTATGACATCAGACTCAAGTTCATGGTAGTAAGTGCACTCTTTGATTAATGACACACTGATACATAGACTACTGCCTCAAAGCCGTAAGCATGGCAATGACCTCTTAGTTAAAGAGAAATGTAGGAGTTATATGTAAACATTCAGTTTCTGAAGTCTGTGCTATTGGAATTACAAAATCTCTTCAATTCCTTTTTCATTTTATTTTTGATATGGGACTTAGCTTACTTGTGTGTGGCCACCTTTAGGTCTCAAATGTAGTGCTATAAATATGTATAAATATACAAAATAATGTATAAATACAAAGCCCAAATACATGACTACAGTGACTGCTCTGGAACATTTTTGCTCGTTTTCAAAGGTTGAGAACTTGACCTACAGGTTTCCAGGGCAATTAGAACTTCTATGTAGGGATGAGACTCTGCTTGTGAAATACCCTCTTTGGTTATTTTCAGTGATATAGATTAGTGTGTATGACTAGGATAGCGTGTTTCTGAAGGAATATATATCAAAAACTGGTTGACATTCACAGACGGTAATGTTTTGTGAACATGATATATTTTGGGCCCTTAAATGTAAAAATGCCTAAAAACACAGCAATATTGTTATATACGGGTTCTATGAAACACACTCAAGAAAAACAGCGGGATTGTCTTGATTATTAAAGTATGGTATGCATTCAACTTATGTGGACTGGATGTAATTTGTAATCAAGTATAGTATTTAGTATTATGTTTTACTTTAAGCAGTACATCATTTATAACTATTGTTAAAGCATTCCTTTCAAGAACGTTAGCTGCCCATTTAAAAGCGTGTGTCATACGCTCATGATTTGGTAACACTCTCATTTTATTTCAGGCATATTCGTAACTAATCTTTCTGCAAGCGGAATGGTCTCTTTGGTGAAAAGAAAGCATGGTCTTTCATGTTTGTGAGGTTGTTTACTGTATACATGCATATCACTGCTGGGTTCCTTTAGATAAATGTGTTTGTCCTAACTAACCAGCTATCGCTTTATGAAAATGAGGATAAATTGATCTATTTAAGCTGGATTTACATTTTTATTTATTTTTTTAAACACTCGTATCTCTCCATATTTTTGATGGGGACATGCCTGTTTTGGCTGTAGAACTTATTTCAGTAAACTTCAGATGTTCTTGCTGCTCTGGCCCTAATCCCTAGCCATCTGAAAATTCTTTTCCTAACAGTCCACCTTTTGATTTTTACTTGCTTAGTAAGATTCCACCGTATAATGACTTTTACAGACCCCCTCAGAATTCTCGGAGAAGGCTAGCATTAGATGTTATATATGAAATCCTGTTTCTCATGGGAAAACCTGAACTGAAATAATTATTTCCAGACCTCCCTGGTGGTGCAGTGGTTAAAACCCGCCTGCCAATGCAGGGGACACGGGTTCAATCCCTGGTCCGGGAAGATCCCACATGCCACGGAGCAACTAACAACTGCTGAGCCTGTGCTCTAGAGCCCGCGAACCACAACTACTGAGTCCGCGTGCCATAGCTACTGAAGCCTGCACGCCTAGAGCCCGTGCTCCACAACAAGAGGAGCCACTGCAGTGAGAAACCTGAGCACTGCAAGGAAGAGTAGCCCCCCGCTCTCTGCAACTAGAGAAAGCCCGCACGCAGCAATGAAGGTCCAGTGCAACCAAAAAAAAAAATTATTTCCAAGTTTTTTTTCTTTTTTTGGCTGCATTGTATGGCATGTGGGATCTTAGTTCCCCGACCAGAGATCGAACCCATGCCTTCTGCAGTGGAAGTTCAGAGTCCTAACCACTGGACCGCCAGGGAATTCCCCAAGATTTTTAATCAGTGGTGATGTTGAGTTTAGGGGAAAGAAAATGTCATTAAAAGCATTATTTAATACTAACAGATATCGAGTGCACACGATATGCCATGCACTGCTCTTAAATGCTTTACATAATTATCCTCATAAACCCAAGAGGAAGGTACTATTTTTTTTTTTTTTTTGCGGTACGCGAGCCTCTCACTGTTGTGGCCTCTCCCGTTGCGGAGCACAGGCTCCCGACGCGCAGGCTCAGCGGCCATGGTTTACGGGCCCAGCCGCTCCGCGGCATGTGGGATCTTCCCCGGACCGGGGCACGAACCCGCGTCCCCTGCATCGGCAGGCGGACTCTCAACCACTGCGCCACCAGGGAAGCCCGAGGTAGGTATTGTTATCACTCCTATTTTACAGAGGAGGCAGCTATAAAAGATAAAATGAAAATAACTTGAGATCATATTACTAGCAAGATACGAGGCCCGGAGTTGGACCTAAGAGTCCACCCTGTCAATTACTGCTCTAAGTAACCTCACCAAATGTCCCTTAAAATTCCCTCCTTTCATGACTAGGAAGAGGGAGACTTGAAGTTCAGAGTTTCTGCTGCATGGGCTTATGAAGGCTGACATGCTGAGGTGTTTAAAATACCTTTTCTTACATAAGAATCAGTAGGAGCAGTCTCAACAAAGATTATGCTGTTTTTCTTCCTAATCCATTAAATAACTCTAGTGCCCAAAATAATATTAACAGCATTTAAATATCAGAAAATTTAAATACCTTTTATAGCCATTTGATTTCCTTTTTTTTTTTTGGCTCCGCTGCGCGGTTTGCGGGATCCCCAACCAGGGATTGAACCTGGGCCCTGGCAGTGAAAGCACAGAGTCCTAACCACTGGACCGCCAGGGAATTCCCCAAGCCATCTGATTTTCTGAGAAGCAATAGTATATCAAACTGTAAGAAAATCAAGAGAGAATAGGCCTTTGATGTTAGCTATATTCAACCTTTACCTTGATTTTTTAGTATATGTAACAATAACTTAAAACACTGGTCTGGATTAAAATTCTAAAAGATACATTTCAATCCTAATCCTTCAAACGTATATTTAAAATTGCCGCTAGCATACCTTTGTTGGACTCTCCTATAAGAGGGGCCTCAGTTCTAACACGTCCCACATGGAACTGGCTTCTTCTTGCTAAATCTTCTCTCCCTGTGATGGCGTGACCACCCTCCCTAGGGTCCCTGCCAGAAACTTGGGTCTCTTTTTTTTTCTTTTCTGCAGAAAGTTATTGTTTCCATT